TATAGACAACTGCCTCTTGTTAGATTATAATAATTAAAGCAACTTTCAAGGAATATTATATACAAAATTTACCTGTCAATGTTCATTTACAACTATCAAGTCTTTTCTCATTAAATTTGTATGTTATCAAGAGTATCATTGGCAAAGAGGGCATTTGATGAGCTAGAGGATCAAACTGGTTTCAGATCATGCTTCACATAAACAGAATGTGCAATATGAATTATGAAAAATTAGTCAAAAATTTTTGGTGGAAAAAAATAGAAATTCATATCAAGTCTCCTTTATGCAGTTATTTTCCTGAATGTCTCATGAGTAGACCAACGCATTTACATACATGTAGAAACTACTGCATATGTTCATGCCAATAATTTCTGTTAAATATTCATGTTTCATTGAGGATAGCTAGGTAAAATAAAAATGGTTTTGATGTTTTTTCATGGTAAAATTAGAATCACTGGTAACATGAGTCTTTTGTTTCTTAGGTGTCTGGAATTTCTTCAGAATGCTAAGAAATGCAAAGTTTCCACTTACATTGTCCTTCAAAAACGTGTATTTTTTCCAATCTGGGATTGGAATTTTAGCCAATAGCTCCCTCCTTGTCTTCCACATCATCACAAAGCACCAGATTCATAGACCAAAGCCCACAGAAATAATCACTTGCCACTTGGCTTTTGTTCACATAGTGATGCTAATTATTACACTGGATATTTTATCAGAAGACATGTTCAAATCACTCAATTTTCCAAATGAACTGAAATGTAAGCTTTTGTTCTACTTGAGTAGGGTGACTAGGGGTCTCTCTATCTCCACCACCTGCCTCCTGAGCATTATCCAAGCCATCACCATCAGTCCCAGCTCTTTCTACTCCTCAAGATTTAAATATAAACTCACAAGACATGTCGCCATTGCTTTGTCCTGCATTTGGCTCCTTACCCTTTCTTCCAATAGCTTCTTGGTCATCTACACTGTGGCTCATTCCAACAGGACCAATCTACTCAGTGTCAGTAAGTACTGCTCACTCTTTTCAATGAACAGTGTCATTATGGCGCTATTTTTCACACTGACATTGTCCCAGAATGTCTTCTGTGTAGGAATGATGCTGCTCTCCAGCATGTACATGGTGATTTTCTTATGTAGCCATCAGAGGAAGTCTGAGTACCTTCACAGCATGAGCATTTCCCCAAGAATCTCACCAGCCAAAAGGGCCACCCGTACTGTCCTAGTGCTGGTGAGTTTGTTTGTGATTATGTACTGTGTGGATATTACCATCTCATCCTTCTCAACTGTACTGTGGAAATATGACCCAGTTGTCCTGGATATCCAGAGACTGGTGGGAAATGTCTATGCCAGTGTGAGTCCTTTGGTGTTTATTAGTTCTGATAAAAGAATAATTGGCATTCTGCAAAACATGATTGATATTATAACCATTTTGACAAGTTGATGAACCAATTCTGAAAATGTAACCTCTCTAATCAGTTAAAAACTTTAAATGTAACATTTTTATCTAACATAATTATGCACAATATTACTTGTGTCTGATACTTTGTTCGCTTTGACACTTCCAAACTCTGTTTACCTCTCCTAGTTCAAAGTTCTTTCCATATGTAAATTTCTTCTTCTTGAGCTTTGTTGTCATTCTGAAGGAAACCTTTATTTTTTTTTAATTGTGCTCATATAAAACTCCTTTTGATACCTAATCTCTAGGTCCTCTAAATTGATACATTAATTCAAATCTTAAATCTGTAAAGAGTAAGTTATATGTGATTAGTTAATCTTATATAAGTAAAAAATTTCAAATAGCTCTTATCAAAATTATGAAATAAATATGTATGTGTTTGTAATAACAAATATATTATTGACCAGATAAAATAGGATGGATAAAGAAATAGGGATAACAAATAATTCATTTAGGTTTCCATGTTCAAGAATATAAAGCATAAGTCTCCACTTTATAAGTGTGACAATGCACACACGAAGAACCAGAGTGCTGTACATACTGGCAAGCACTGGAGCCAGGACAGGAGGTGGGTCTGGTTGGGGTTATTGTGGGTAGCTCCGACTATGCTTCAACTCACACTGGTTTGCATGGGGACCAGGTGTACAATGGGCAGAATCAGGCTGTACTGCAATGTCCACTAGTTTGCCTAGAAGACAGGGCAGAAGACAACTGACTCAGCAGTAGCACATAACAGTGTGTGTGAGTAGGCTGATTTGGGCAAAGGACTGTGTCAGACCCTGCATTGGCAGCACATACAACAATCAGGCCCGGGATCACCTCAGATGAAGTTTCTCTGGAGATCCCTCCAACTAACCGCTAGTCTCAGAACTCTAACCGTGGAGGAAATTGCAGGTTCCATGGCCTGACCATTGATTGCGTATGTCAGAATTGAATCTCCTAAGTGTCTTTGATCAAGCAGTGGGCAGCCTATTCAAACACACATGAAGGATGTTCCAGAACACTGGAGCCTGCAGAAGACACCTGGTACTATGGCAGAGGATGGATACAGAACAAATTGATGAAATAACCTAGCCAAGAGTTAGCAGTGAACACCTGGACAGAGACTCTAAGGTGGAATATAGCATCCAGTAGATTTTTGAGCAATTTCAATGTGATTAGAGCAGCAAAATTTGCAGAATTACACAACTGTTGAACTATCAAAGTCACTTGAGCAGGACACGTGTAGCATACCTCACATCAGGGACCCTGGGATATTTGGGAGGCTGGGTATGGCTTCTCGCTTTTCTAGTCACTTCCTCCAGATACAGAGGAGAAGAATGGAATGTCTCATCAGTGGTCTGACCTAATTTCTCTAGTTCTTGAATCTTCACATCCTAATCAAATGTTTAAAAATCATCAAAAATAAACATTATAC